TGTGTGTGTGTGTGTGTGTGTGTGTGTGTGTGTGTGTGTGTGTGTGTGTGTGTGTGTGCGCGTGTGTGTGTGAATGTGAAGGAAAAGAGAGAACGCAAAATAGTATGCCAGCTATACACTCGTCTATCATGCTAACTCGTCCGTTCGCCGCATATTTCAGGTGAGCGCTACAGACGCCAGATGCGCTCCTCACCAGTACATGCACAACAACGGCGTCTGCTGCGCTCGTTGTCCGCGCGGCCACGAGGTGGCGCGCGCGTGCCACACGTCGACCGACGCGCCGATCTGCGCGGCGTGCGTGTTGGGCCGCAGCTACGAGACGGCGCACGCGAGCACCGGAGCGCAGGTGTGCGCTCCCTGCACGACGACGACGTGTCCCGAATTCTCGTCGCTCGTGCACGCCTGCAACGCGACGCACGACGCCGCGTGCGTCTGCGACGCCGGCTACCGTCGCGACGCGGCGACGAACCGCTGCGCCCCTTGTCGGTCGTGCGAGGCCGGCTACGGTGCTGCCACCGTGTGCGGGGCGGGGGCGGACACGACGACGTGCGAGCCGTGTGAGAATGGCAGCTTTTCGGAGGTAGACAGTCGCGAGCTGCCGTGTCACGCGTGCAGCGAGTGCACGGACGAGCAGATCATGTTACAGGCCTGCTCGCCGACACAGGACACGATATGTTTAGGTGAGCGGCTCTATATTAGTAGTGCAGCGATGATAGCGCTCATAGGGAGAGGGCGAGAAGGGGGAGAAGGGGGTGAAGGGGGATCTGGAAAGAAATATAGAGCGAGAAAGGGCGGTCGACAGGGTCAGAGAGAGAGAGAGAGGGGGGGAGGGGGGAAGAAAGAATGCAAATTGGTGAGACAGGGTGAGATTTAAAGAGAGAAAGAGCAAAAAGGGGTGTTCGAGAGAGAGAGAGAGAGAGAGAGAGAGAGAGAGAGAGAGAGAGAGAGAGAGAGAGAGAGAGAGAGAGAGAGGGAGAGAGCGAGATAATGCGAAATTATAAGAATAAGAGTGAGGGCGTGTTAGAGTGGATGAGTGAGTATGTATGTGTGAGTGCAAGAGAGGGCGAGAGCGAAAGCGAGAACGCGAGAAAGGAAGAGAGAGTGATGGGGAAGTCAGTGAGGCAGAGAGAACAATAATCAATATTGAGATATAGGTTATATTTATATTATTATTTATATTAAAAGTGGAAAGGCGGCTCATTGAACACAAAGTAACGCAACGTAACGTAAATAATAATCTTAACACAAGTGAGCCTAATGTGCTGAATTAACGTGAGATTATTATAGGCATAGAAGAACGTAGAATAGTAGTGCACTACGGACAGTAATCAGTAAATCAGTAAATCGAAATGCGTTTAATGAAAAGCAATAACATAAAAAACATAGTCTTTACATATATTATAGCATGCGGTAGATAATCCTGAATATCGAAGAATTTTGCACAGGGGAGAGATAGTGATCCGCTAGGGGACGGCTCTGATTGGCTAATTTTGTCTCTTATTTATTTTATTTTTTATTATTTTTGGCTAATTTTGTGTTTATAATCTAGTGTTAGGATTAGGGTTAGGGTTAGGGTTAACTGATTTCTATATCCACAACTTATTTATACTAATAATGCGCCATCTAGCGAATCACTATCTCTCCCCTGAGACCTATTAAATATCGAACGCCGTGCAACGAGGCAACGCCATAGCAACGCTGTCGTTTCCATGCCAACGTAGATCTGCACATTGTTTATGATATAGCAGGCCATATGCGTTGTTTTACTATCAGGGTACACTCATTTGTCTCACGGGGGTGAAAAAAAGTTGTTTTGTTTTTCCTCAAATTTTGTTTGTGTGTTGCAAACAAGTCACATCTTGAGGCGTCAAGTCTTCAATTTTTCCTTTTTATAGCGTAAAACAGGTTCATGTGTCACTATGAGGTAGATTTGAATGATATGGTTTGATATGTGGATTATGTGAAATAGAAATAATTATAATATAAATTTATATAGAAATAATATAATTTAAAATGTTGATTCATTGAGTAAAGTGTGATGATTATTCATTACAATACGGAATTCGGAGAAGACATTTTTTGACGGAATATGCACCTCAATTTTAGGGGGGTCGCAATAAATCAATTAGTCACAATCTTACGGGGTATTCAGATTTTAAACAAACTCATTTCAATAGTTAATTTTGATTTTTAATCATGCTTAGTGGTTGCTGATGTCAGAGATACACCTGCTCAAACATTAAAAAAATCTGATGAGACGGTGATAATGGTCCAGAAATGCCGAATACTTAGATATTTTGAAAAGTAAATGTCTGTTTCAAACGGTTTCTTCGTTGTTGTAGGTTGAGCTAACAGTGCCCAATAATTGGCCATGTTACATTTTAAATAAAAGTGCACTGATTTTTTTAATGAGGCCCACAATGTGGTTATTAGCCTTATGTACCCTGATTGTAAAACAACACATATAGTCCACAGATTATTTTGTACTATCTATGACGCAGCTAACCACCTTCTTTACGTAAACCCAACCGTAAAATATAAATTCGGGTTGCGGGTGATTAAAACTTAATCTAGATAAAAAAATATAATCTTTTTTCTTTTTCCTTTTCCGCTCTGTCGCTTCCAACAGCCAAAGATTTCTCCAAACTGCGACCGCAATTGAACCTCGGCTCGAAAAGTGTAAACGTGGCGCCATCTGACGGCGTCGGCGACGCATCGAACGGCCACCTCATTCCGATCTACTGCTCGGTGCTCGCTATCGTCATCTGCTGCCTTGTCGCTTACGTCATCTATCGGCGCCGGCAGCTGTGGCAGCAGAAGCAAGAGAAGTCGCAAAAGGAGGCGACAGCAGACTGTGAGGAGGTCGGGGATGAGGAGCTGGCATTGTCCGACGGTGACACGCGCGACGACGTCGACACACGCACGAGCGTGCTGGGAAACTCTCACGCCAGTAACGTATAGACGGCGCCACGATCGCGCGCAACGCGTGATCGAGTCGGCAGCACATTACATCGCATTTGTATAGGGTATCGTATTGCATTGTACAGTCATCATAATATAATCATGTATATTTAAACATTGAGTGCTGTCCAGTATGTGAAATCGCGGTGTCCACAATGGCATAATAATTATTACATTGCGCACGATGCCATCTCGTGTTCTACCTGATATAATATCTAGTTATACAGAATATTATATCACGTCATGCATGATGTCATATTGTGTTATGCAGATGTCATGCCGTGTTACACATGGTATCATATAATCAGGAGTGAATAATAATATATTATGAATAGATCTATTATTATTTACTTCTGATATAATGTTACACAGGATATCGTGTCTCGTTCTACCTGATACCATATCACGTTATACAGATATCATATCATGTTAACGAGATATCATATCTTGTTACACAGGATATCACATCATGTTCAACAGGCATAGCACCGTATGTTGTGTGTAATGTGTGTATCATTTCGTGTTGTAAATACATGTAGTATAATATCATTCTGTCACTTGGGTATATGCGAGGCTCGGCAGGCGTATGCACGTTCACCCCGCGTACACGGTTAATCATGCGCTTGTGTGTGTGATTATTATGTCGCTACAATACTCGTATACATTCAGATAACAATCTAACGCGTGTGTGAATCGTTATGCGGCGTTCCCGTGTATGGCAACAGTCATCATAGGTCTAGAGTGAATCCCTACAGGCCATGACTGCGTGGCATTAAAATCTTCGCCCTTGACACGCCGCCGTCGTAGCTAGCGTTTGAGTATGTTCGCCACGTGACAGAGCGACGTCGTGGGCGTGACCACGTGATGGTTTTGGCGCGAATTATACTCATCCGGTATTGGCATTATCCTGTGAGAGCTTTCATTATGCGCCCATCGTCAACGATTGCTATCAACCCCACCCGCTCCCCTACCGCGCGCCGCTCTCATACGTGGTAGATGTATGGAGGTGGGACGGAGCAATGAACGTATCTGCTGCTGCTTGTAGCAGACGAGTTACGTGTTGCGGAGAGCCTGAAACATCATAGTGCTCCGCTCTCTCTCTCTAGTGGGATGCGGCTGATGATCTATATGGAAACAATTTTCACCGTAGAAACAAACGTGATAGAGTCCGGCTCTGCCTTGCTATATCGTCGAGGATAGGTGTTGTAATTCGCATCGCGCGTGAGCGCGGACCACTGTCTACATAAGTATCGTAAGGAGAGATGCCGTGTAAAGAAATCATCGAGTCACGGGAAAGGCGGAGAATCTCCGGCTGACTGGTTGGTATGCTATGTTACGTATACGTAAGTACGAGCGGTGGCGAAGACATCTCTTTCTATTATATTATGTGAATAGGGAATATAGATAGATAGAGTGAGAGAGGAAGAGAGACAAACATACAAGAAGAGAGAGAGAGAGAGAGAGAGAGAGAGAGAGGAGGAGAGGAGAGAGAGAGAGTAGAGAGAAGAAGAGAGAAGAAGAGAGAGAGAGAGAATCGAACGAGGGCGTACTAGTATAAATAAGAAGGTATATCCACCCCTCCCCCCCACACCGAAGACATAAATCGATGTAGGTTTACTTAAAATATACTCGGTATGAACCGTGTTAGCGGTGTAAACGCCTGCAAGTCGCTCCCAGATTCCCCAACATGAAATAGGATGTGACCTTTTGCCGACTTACAGTAAAGGCCACTGTGTATTTACATTAATTAGTTCGTGTACCTCCCCTTTATTGACTACGTCACGAATTTGCTATGGAAAATTTGTAAATGTTTCGTTGCCAATTTTTCCCATTAAAAGTAGAGCTATACGGACTACCGTATCGTCAATTCTTACCTGAAAGATTCTGCTCTCAACTAGTTAAAAATCCAAAAAACCTGGACGATATATAGTTATGTTCGTAGCAATGCTTGCTATGGCTAGTATGCGCACGAGTGATTTCACATCGAACAATATAGTATAATAAGAACATAATGCAGCAATTTAATCATAAAAAGTGAACAGAATTCTTATATTTGTGAAAAGTGGAAATAGTTTTTTATTTTTTACTATTTACGGTGACGTAATCAGCTTTATTGAGTTTACGCGTGTAAGTATTCTGTCTAGCGCGCATGACGCCTGTGTGACCATTGTCCCCGATCGTTATGGCAACAACGCTGCGTGCTGCTGCTTTATGAAAACAATGTTATCTGCTAATAGTTGTCTATGTCCTCTATAAGAAACGTTTTTTACGTCGCGGGCAGGAAAACATTTCTTCCTCACCCACCGTCGTTGTACATATATATATATATATATATGGTGTATATATATATATATGGTGTATATATATATTATTATATATATATAATATATATATACTATATAATATATATATATATATGGTACAACGACGGTGGGCCGAGGAAGAAATGTTTTCCTGCCCGCGACAGTAAACACATGTGTCCTTATAGAACATAGATGTTTGCCACGAAGGCAACTTGTAAAATATGCCATTACTCGTAATCACTACCAAAGATATAAGCCGTATATGAAGTGAAGCAGCATTTATAACTCATTCATTCAGCACTGTACCATTAGATTGTGAGCCCATGTTTATTCTCTTGGTCTTTCGACTTTCTACTCAAGCCCATAAATCTTTATTGAATAAACACGTTTAAATTCAAGATGACGTTCGTAATGCATAGATATTTTATGAGCAATCATACTCGTGCGAGTAAGATCATCTCTTGCTGTATTATCGCCACGTTGTCGACGGAACAGGTTTGCACGCTGTGTGTGTTGACCACGTAAATTCACAGGATGATTGCATAGAGGTATGGCAGAAATGGAACTGTGGCTGTGACCTGCCATCAATGACGATCAACGGGTGAACGTTCAGTGATACCACGAATAAACCATATGCTGCACCTTTGTTCATTCATATTCTCATCTAAAGATAAAGCAATCTCACTACACGGATTTAGCATATGGTTGACTTATTGCGTCTTACACGCATATCGTAACTGCTACGTCGTTATTGCGCGTTCTAAACCCTGCAATTCGTTCCGTGTATTGTGGGACTGCAGGTGCGGTAACTCAAAAATTACTTCTTGGCATATTTATAATAATCGTGGCACATCAAGGCTTTGTCTCTCGTCGTTGCAATCGCCCCTGATCTTCAGTAAGGCGACAAGCCGCGCTGACTATCGGGAAGGCTTTACGGAATTCCCAGGCATTCTCACCGATCAACAAATGATGGTTTATTTTTCACCTGAAAACGAAAACAGATGGCGCTGCGTCACACGGTTAGCATAGACAACAACGACCCGCGATGTGATTACACGAATATAGCGGACACGGTTAGGGATGACGTCGGGTGGGTTCTTATAAAGAGATGGAAAGACGTGTAGATATGGTACGAGGGAATGGCTATGGATGGAATTGTGGAAGATGCAGTGAGGTGACAGTCTATTAGTGAAATGTAGACGACGGTGAGACGCTAACATGTACCGAGATTGTAGGCCTACGGTGTGTGATGCGGGGCAGCGATGGCTGGGAGAACGAACGGCGAATCTGAACTAGGTGATGTCGGCGGTGTGGGATGGTGAAATATGAAGAGCGGTGGTGTGGGTGGGCGTTGAGGGTGAATATAGGGGGGGTGATGTGGGTGGGTGTGCAAAGATGACTATGAGGTGGGTGATCTGTGGTGGGGTGGAGGATAAGGATCATTCTCAGTCGGGTGAGGTGAGGTAAGCTGTGGACTGAATACTCAATACAAGGGTCGAAAATATTCGCGCACTTGCTGAAAATGCTACAGGTATCTATCTATATACTTATCTACACCCACGTTTAAACGCCTGCATTGCTATGGTTTAAGCATTCGTTTCTTCATAATTTACGATGCGGATGCGAACGATGTGCGTGATATCACCTTGAGATCCCGCTGTAGACAATCCTTCATCTCCTGCAGCCGTTGATAGCTGCCTCCGCGTCGCTTAAGCTTGTTCCCACAGCTCTCGCACCGTTGCTGATTCTCCGCTATCTCGTACAACAATCTGCAACATTTAGCCCATAGATGGCGCTCGTATACCCTCTCATCAAGCATAATACTATATGCTCTATCGCTAGGCCGTTCACAGATCGTGGAGTATCACTGAAATCGATTTTAGTGCTAATGGTTTACTGCCGACAGCAAGAAAGCAGAACTGTTGTTGTTTCGCCTGACTTGAGTGTGTGGCCTCGCGCTGCAACACGTTCATTCTGAGATTACGGTTTTGCCGATTTGCTAAAACATCATCGCTTCTTACATCAAGGTAACTTTGCCCATCGATATAGAGAATCACCCCACGTAGATAAAAAATCTCACTGGTCTACAAACTTATTGGCTCGTTGCCAGACATATACGGACGTCTGCCAAGACGCCCGAGTCTGAATAGCCAGAAGCACTATTGTCTGCGTGCTAATTTCGGCAACTATCTGAAGGTGAACTTTGCTAGTGCGCTGACCTTTGTGTGGGGCGTCGTGACACATGTTCGACGTTAGGGCGCCGCTGCGCGCGTGTGCAGCGCGTCCGTTTGCCACTTGGAGGAGCTGTAGACGCGGGATGATTTGCTTCAGCCGATCTATATTCTTCTCCATGTAAAATCTGCCGCTTCAGTACCTGCAAGAGCAGCGGTCACGTCACAGGGTCACGGTGACCGTTCGGCCGATTGGAGACGCGGCGAGACGATGGCTCGCGACGCTCTCTTCTCTCGCTCTCATCTCTCCTCTCTCCCTCCCCAATAAAACGCACACGCACACACGCAACACACAACACACACACACACACACACACCAAACACACACACACACAACCGCATACCGCACGCACGTCACACGCCCAACACCCACACACAACACACACTCTGCTCTTCGCTCTCCTCTCTGTACTCTCTCCCCCCCCTCTCCGTTCCCTGCGCTGCTTAACCCTTGACAGGTTGTCTGAGTGCGTGACCTCGCGCTGACCTCGTCTCGTGTCTCTCACTTGACTGCTTTGTTCACCTCTGTTGAACTGACTCCACATTCGTTGGCATGACATTGTCCACATCGACCTCTAGAATCTATGCGCAGCTGCGCTAGACTTGGTGCGCTTCTGCCTGCGAGTGCTGGATGTTGCGATCACATGGTGCTGGCATACCACGGTGTGGTGGTCCGAGTCCCTGCATACACGCAACGCGCAGCAGCATAGTATAAGCGTTACAGCCAAGCAGGCGTAGTGACGACACGCGACAAACTACGCGAGACATTTTTACGTCACGCCACAGGACAGTCTTATGATCGCATGCGCTACTCACGCGGCTAACGTTTCGAAGTCACACACCACACACCCGCAGCGTATAACGTCACGCGGACGCGCCCATACGCAGTCAACGTCTGACGGCACGACGTTAGCAGTGTTATGACGTCACGCATAGCAGTGGTTGACGCCATGGCACACACAGCAAACGTCTCAGTCACGCACAGCAACGTCCATTCGCGGCGCAGACCGCGTACATACAGGGTAATGTGCACAAGCGTCAGCGCGAAATCACTACGCAGCAACCTCATCACGTCATCATAGCGAATCGTTGACAGTATTTAACGCCGACGCACCGCCGCCACCACACACACACTTCTAGGTGCTAGCACCTGCCCCCCCCCCACAACACACACACCCACCCCCCACACAAGCAACGTACATGTCACTCTCCACGAAAATGTGTGATGATATGTGCAACCGCACACGACAACTAACGACGTCACGCGACCGCACAGCGACGTGTGCCGTCACGTGCCAATGTTATTCACGCGGCTGTGCAATTCATACCATGCATTAATACGTTACGTACGAAATTATAATGCGTTAGGAGACCTAAACGTTGCCCGTAACGCACACGCTACACTAATTTACTCGTGCACGATGATCGATTTATCGATTTTGCTTGTATTAGAGTGATGCAAGATAGATCATCGATTAGATATCGATGAGATATCTGGAACGAGGCTACGCTTCGTTCCGCGCAGCAAACCTATCGATCTATAACGATGTGATGTAAGGATGAGCAGCCTACGTTCTCGTCTGCTCGACTCCAGATGGAAGCAGATGCCACGTGACGTGTTGCTCAGCTTGTAGCTGAGCTCGTCTAGCGACAAGCGCCATCTGCTTGTCGTCGTGTCGAACTCTAGCGACTGCGCGATCTCTGTTCAACCTGCGTATAGGGATGACGAAACGTGTGGTATCGCGAATGTGCACCGTGCGCCACTCGGTCTCGTGGGGAAAAATTTTTGTAATAAGACGTCGCGAACATGTACACACGCACAACACACACGCGCACGCGCACAACACACACAGGCGCACACGCACACCGCAGACACAAGACACGCGCACAGGAGACACAGGCGACATGCCACACCATACGCGCGCGCGCACCCGCACACACACACACCACACACACACACACACACACACACACACACATACGCGCGCACACACACAGTACGCAACGCCGCACGCACGCACGCACGCACCCACACACACACCACAACACACAAGCGCATACAGGCGCACGTCCGCACGTCTGCACGTCCGCACACTTACCTCATTTGTGCATCTATCCGGTCCAATGCAATAGTCATCTTCTCCTTGCATTCTTTTGCTAGATTAACTTCCTATAAGCACAATAGTTTACCGACCAATTACTACCGCTTTTTCATGCTATGAGAGAACACGAGTGAGAACATTCACATGCATAATTTTTAAAGAAAATATTTGATAAACACGTAAAAACAAATTAAGAATGAAGCCAAATAGATATCACTAGATGATATACAATGCAATATTTACTTATAGCACGCGTCATCTGGGTATACGTTGCGCAACTGAACACATAGCGTGATATTGCACTGTAATGCAATGTCAAAATACATAACATGGCATCACAGAATATCGTCTCTATGATATCTCAGTATGTCACATGATATCATGGTATCTAGCATGATATCCGAGAGTTTAGCATGATACCCGTATCAGTTCTCTCTCGGCGTTGTCATGTACAAGGTCAATGTTTTGCCGCTGTTCCCTAATACGAAGACATTCTTCTGCTATTTCTAAAGGCCCGTTCATCTCCTGCAGTGACTTATCCAACCTGTGAATTAATTAATCATATATCACCTGATTAATTATATATTAATTAATTAGCGGTTTTTCGTCGCCGAACTTCCTGTGACGTCATTCCCAGGCAATAGCTCTGAGCTCATAAATGATAAAGGTTGCTCATAGCTGTAGAGACTATGAAGTGTTATGTAAAGGGTCGTGTGTGGGGGAGGGGAGGGGAGCGGAGATCACGGGGTCAAGACGTGGGGGGGATTATAGGATCGAAAATCTTTGAAGGTCGAACGTTCAAAAGACCCAAGTTCGAATTAATTGGATTCGTGCGAGTTTAAAGATAACTGGGGGTTACGATGATCGCATTCATGTAAGGTAAATGGTATTAGAGATGTATTAATGAATAGGTAAGGTATGGGTATATTATGGTAATTCATATTGCAATCAATGTTATTAAGAAGGCTGTAAAATAGTTTTACGAGTACATTCGAAGACACACAGGGCAGTGTTGTGATCGTTGCCATGACACCGGTCGCATGGCAACGCGTTACCTTCTCCTGAAGTCGGACAAAACGTTGATCTCCGTCACCATCTTGTCGGATTCGGTGAGCAGCTCCGACTTCCAATAACTAATGTCGCTGATCCGGTTTCCGAGTTTCTGTCCGGCGTCGGCCTGCGTCATCCGCGTCTTCTCGTCCGCATCCCGGATGAGCCGAACCGTTTCGAAACGCAACTTCTCGGCGCTGTTTCGCATGCCCGACGCCTGCGCAGCGATGCTCAGACTGGCGTTAAGCCACTCTGCCGGCGTGGAGCGAGCAAGCATCACCTAAATAAGACGGTATAGAACGACATAATATCGATGTATTTTACTTATAAATGATACTCGGTATGACACCGTGTTACGGTATAAACCCTGCCAAGCGCTCCCAGAATTCTCCCCAACATGAATAGAGGATGTGACCTTTTGCCGACTTACAGTAAAGCCACTGTGTATTTACGTAATTAGTTCGTGTATCCTTTAAATTGACTACGTCACGAATTTGCTATGGTAAAATTTGTAAAATGTTTGTTGCCATTTTTTCCATTAAAAGTAAGAGCTAACGGGACTACGTATCGTCAAATTCTTACCTGATAAGATTGCTTCTCAACTAGTTAAAAATCCAAAAAACCTGGACGATATGATATTAGTGTTCCTAGCAATTGCTTGCTATGGGCTATGTATGCGTCACGAGTGTATGTTCACATCGAACAATATAGTATAATAAGAAGCATAATGCAGCAATTTAATCATAAAAAGTGAACAGAATTACTTATATTTTGTGAAAAAGTGGAAATAGTTTTTTTATTTTTTACTATTTACGGTGACGTAATCACTTTATTTGACGTTTACGCGTGTAAGTATTCTGTCTAGCGCGCATGACGTGTGTGACCATTGTCCCCCGTCGTTATGGCAACAACGCTGCGTGCTGTCTTTATGAAAACAATGTTATCTGCTAATAGTTGTCTATGTCCTCTATAAGAACACGTTTTTTACTGTCGCGGGCAGGAAAACATTTCTTCCTCACCCACCGTCGTTGTACCATATATATATATATATATATATATGGTACAACGACGGTGGGCGAGGAAGAAATGTTTTCCTGCCCGCGACAGTAAAACATGTGTCCTTATAGAACATAGATAGTTGCCACGAGGCAACTTGTAAATATGCCATTACTCGTAATCACTACCAAAGATATAAGCCGGTTATATGAAGTGAAGCAGCATTTATAACTCATTCAATTCAGCACTGTACCATTAGAATTGTGAGCCCATGTTTATCTCATTGGTCTTTCGACTTTCTACTCAAGCCCATATAATCTTTATTGTAATAAACACGTTTAAATTCAAGATGACGTTCGTAATGCATAGCATATTTTATGAGCATCATACTCGTGCGAGTAAGATCATCTCTTGCTGTATTATCGCCACGTTGTCGACGGAACAGGTTTGCACGTGTGGTGTTGACCACGTCAATTACAGGATGATGCATAGAGGTATGGCAGAAATCGAACTGTTGCTGTGACCTGCCATCAATCTGTACAACGGGTGAACGTTCAGTGATAAACACGAAAACACCATATGCTGCCAACTTTTGGTTCATTCATATTTCTCAATCTAAAGATAAAGCAATCTCACTACACGGATTTACATATGTTGACTTATTGCGTCTTACACGCTATTCGTTAACTGCTACGTCGTTATTGCGCGTTCTAAACCCTGCAATTCGTTCCCGTGTATTGTGGGATTGCAGGTGCGGTAACTCAAACATGTGCTCTTTGCATATTTATTAATTATCGTGGCACATCAAGGCTTTGTCTCTCGTCGTTGCAATCCTGCCCTTGATCTTCAGTAGGCGACAAGCCGCGCGTGACATATCGGGAAGGCTTTACGGATTCCCAGGCATTTCTCACGATCAACAAATACGCTGTTATTTTTCACCTGAAAACGAAAACCAGATGGCGCTGCGTCACACGGTTAGCATAGACAACAACGACGCCGAGTGTGATTACGAACGAATAGCGGACACGGTTAGGGATGACGTCGGTGGGGTTCTTATAAAGAGATGGAAAGGGACGTGCATGTAGATATGGTACAAGGGAATGGCTATGGATGGAATTGTGGATATGCAGTGAGGTGACAAGTCTATTAGTGAAATGTAGACGACGTGAGACGCGGTAACATGTACCGAGATTGTAGGCCTACGGTTGTGTGATGCGGGGTAGCGTGGCTGGGAGAACGAACGTGCGAATCTGAACTAGGTGATGTAGGCGGGTGTGGGATGGTGAATATGAAGAAGGGTGGTGTGGGTGGGCGTTGGAGGGTGAAAATGAGGTGGGGTGATGTGGGTGGGTGTGGGATGGTGACTATGAGGTGGTGTGATGTGGGTGGGTGTGGGAGGATAAGGATCATGTCAGTCGGGTGAGGTGAGGTAAGGCTGTGGACTGAATACTCCAATACAAGGGTCGAAAATATTCGCCCCTTGCTGAAAATGTACAGGTCTATCTATATATTATCTACACCGCGTTTAAACGCCTGCATTGCTATGGTTAAGCATTCGTTTCTTCATAATTTACGATCGGATGCGAACGATGTGCGTGACGTCACCTCGAGATCCCGCTGTAGACAATCCTTCATCTCCTGCAGCCGTTGATAGGCTGCCTCTGCGTCCTGTAGCTTGTTCCCCAGCTCTCGCACCGTTGCCTGTATCTCCGCTATCTCGTACACCAATCTGCAACATTTACGCCCATAGATGGCGCTCGTATACACTCATCAAGCATAATACTATATGCTCTATCGCTAGGCAGTTCACAGGTCGTGGGAGTACGGCTGAACATGGAATTTGGAATTTAGTGCTATATGGTTTACTCCGACAGCAAGAAAACAGACTGTTGTTGTTTCGCCGAGTTGATGTGTGGGCCTCGCGCTGCAACACGTTTACATTCTGAGATTTCGGTTTTTGCCGATTTGTCTAAAGCATCATCGCTTCTTACATCAAGGTGACTTTGCGCCATCGATATAGAGAATCACCACCACGTAAACAAAAATCTCACTGGTCTACAAATTATTGGCTCGTTGCCAGACATACCGGACGTCTCGCAGAGACGCCCGAGTCTGAATAGCCGAGAGGCACTATTGTCTGGCGCTAATTCGCAACTATCTGAAGGTGAACTTTGCTAGTCGCGCTGACCTTTGGTGTGGCGGGTCGTGACACAGTTCGACGTTAGGGCGCGCTGCGCGCGTGTGCAGCCGCGTTTGTGCCACTTGGAGAGGAGCCTGTAGGTCGCGGATGGATTTGCTCAGCAGATCTATGTTCTTCTCCATGTCAAACATCTCCGTCATGACCTGCAAGAGCAGGTGACGTCACAGGTCACCGGTGACACGTCGCCGATTGGAGACGGGCGAGAATGATGGCTGCACGCTCTCTTTCTCTCGCTCTCTCTCTCCCTCTCTCCCTCCCCAATAAACGCACACGCACACACGCACCAACACCCACACACACAAACACACACTCTCTCTTTCGCTCTCCTCTCTGTACTTCTCCCCCCCCTCTCTCCGTTCCCTGCCTGCTTACCCTTGACAGGTTGTGCTGAGTGCGTGACCTCGCGTCCTCGTACTCTCGTTGTCTCTCACTGATGCTGGTGTTCACCTTGTTGAACTGACTCCACATGTCGTTGATGCACATTGTCCACATCGCCTCTAGATCTTTGCGCAGCTGCGCAGACTTGGTGCGCTCTGCCTGCGAGTGCTGGATGTTCGAGTCACTGTGCTGCATCCACGTCTGTGGGTCCGAGTCCCTGCATCACACGCACGCGCAGCAGCATATAACGTTACGCACAGCAGCGTATGACGTCACGCGACACATACGCGGCAACGTTTTACGTCACGCACAGCAGCTTATGACGTCATGCGCTACTCACGCGGCAACGTTTCGAGTCACACACACACACACACACCGCAGCGTATAACGTCACGCGTGACGCGACGCATACGCGTCAACGTCTTACGGCACGCGTAGCAGTGTATGACGTCACGCACAGCAGTGTATGACGTCATGGCACACACAGCAACGTCGCACGTCACGCACAGCAACGTCACATATCGCGCGGCAGACGCGTACATACAGGGTATGTGCACAACGTCACGCGAAACACACGCAGCAACCTCTCACGTCATGCATAGCAACGTTGCACATATTAACGCGACGCACCCCGCCACACACACACACACACGCCCCCCCCCACACACACACACACCCCACCCCCCACACACAGCAACGCTACATGTCACTCCCACGGAAATGTGTGTGATAATGTGCAACGCACACGACAACATACGACGTCACGCGACGCACAGCGACGTGTGCCGTCACGTGCCAATGTTATTTCACGCGGCTGTGCAATCTCATACCATGCATTAATATACGTTAACGTACGAAATTATTATATGCGTTAAGAGACCTAAACGTTGCCCGTAACGCACACGCTACACTATATTACTCGTGCACGATGATCGATTTATCGATTTTGCTTGTATTAGAGTGATGCAATCGATAGATCATCGATTAGATATCGATGAGATATCTGGAACGAGGCTACGCTTCGTTCCGCGCAGCAAACCTATCGATCTATAACGGATGTGATGTAACGGATGTGAGCAGCCTACGTTCTCGTCTGCTCGACTCCAGGATGGAAGCAGATGCCACGTGACGTGTTGCTCAGCTTGTAGCTGAGCTCGTCTAGCGACAGCGCCATCTGCTTGTCTGTCGTGTCGAACTCTAGCGACTGCAGCGAATCTCTGTTCAACCTGCGTATAGCGATGACGAAACGTGTGGGTATCGCGAATGTGCATCCGTGCGCCACCTCGCGTCTCGTGGGGAAAATATTTTGTAATAAGACGTCGCGCACACATGTACACACGCACAACACACACGCGCACGCGCACAACACACACAGGCGCACACGCACACACGCAGACACACAGACACGCGCACACAGGAGCACACAGGCGGACATGCACACACGCATACGCGCGCGCGCACACGCACACACACACACACACACACACACACACACACACACACACTACACAATATCCGCGCACAGTCAACGAGGCATTGCCGCTTACGCACGCACGCACAGCACGCACGCACGCACGCACACACACACACACACACACACCACACAAAGCGCATACAGGCGCACGTCCGCAGCGTCTGCACGTCCGCACACTTACCTCATTTGTGCATCTATCCGGTCCAATGCAATAGTCATCTTCTCCTTGCATTCTTTTGCTAGATTAACTTCCTATAAGCAACATAGTTTACGCGACCAATTAACTACCCCGCTTTTTCATGCTATGAGAGACACGAGTGAGAACATTCACATGCATAATTTTTAAAGAAAATATTTGATAAACACGTAAAAACAATTAAGATGAAGCCAAAATAGATATCACTAGATGATATACAATGCAATATTTACTTATAGCACGCGTCATCTGGGTATACGTTGCGCAACTGACACATAGCGTGATATTGCACTGTAATGCAAGTCAAATACATAACATGGCATCACAGAATATCGTCTCTATGATAATCTCAGTATGTCACATGATATCATGGTATCTAGCATGATATCCGAGAGTTTAGCATGATACCCGTATCAGTTCTCTCTCGGCGTTGTCATGTACAAAGGTCAATGTTTTGCCGCTGTTCCTAATACGAAGACATTCTTCTGCTATTTCTAAAGGCCCGTTCATCTCCTGCAGTGACTTATCCAACCTGTGAATTAATTAATCATATCATATCACCTGATTAATTATATATTAATTAATTAGCGGTTTTTCGTCGCCGAACTTGCCTGTGACGTCATTCAGCGGCAATAGCTCTGAGCTCATAAATGATAAAGGTTGCTCATAGCTGTAGAGACTATGAGTGTTATGTAAAGGGTCGTGTGTGGGGGAGGAGGGGAGCGGAGATCACGGGTCAAGACGTGGGGGAATTATTAGGATCGAAAATCTTTGAAGGTCGAACGTTCAAAGACCCAAGTTCGAATTAATTGGATTCGTGCGAGTTTAAAGATAACTGGGGGTTACGATGATCGCATTCATGTAAGGTAAATGGTATTAGAGATGTATTAATGAATAGGTAAGGTATGGGTATATTATGGTAATTCATATTGCAAGCAATGTATTAAGAAGGCTGTAAAATAGTTTTACGAGTACATTCGAAGACACACAGGGCAGTGTTGTGATCGTTGCCATGACACCGGTCGCATGGCAACGCGTTACCTTCTCCTGAAGTCGGACAAAACGTTGATCTCGCGTCACCATCTGTCGGATTGCGTGAGCAGCTCCGACTTCCAATAACTAATGTCGCTGATCCGGTTTCCGAGTTTCTGTCGCGGCGTCGGCCTGCGTCATCCGCGTCTTCTCGTCCGCATCCGGATGAGCCGAACCGTTTCGAAACGCAACTTCTGCGCGCTGTTCGCATGCCCGACGGCCTGCGCAGCGATGCTCAGACTGGCGTTAAGCCACTCTGCCGGCGTGGAGCGAGCAAGCATCACCTGATGTTGACACGAGAGCAGATGTTAGAGTTGTGTGTGTAAGGTTACGTGAGGTGCAAGCATCACATAATGTTGACACAAGAGCAGATGTCAGAGTTGTGTGTGTAAGGGGAGGTGAGGGGCAAGCACCATCTGATCAGGAGTAAGATAATATAGATATAATATAATAAATCTATATAAGATAAATCTATATTATCGTTAGCTCCATGATCTGATGGTTACCCACAGGCAGGGTGTGATTATAGCTAGCATAAACTAGTCATGAGCCAAATTCAGATGTTTATGAGGGGGCTAAGCATGTCCTGGTGGTAACAGACAGACAGATAGACGTTAGGTGTGAGTGTGTTGCGGTGAGGTAAAGCGGGAAAAATACATCCTGATTCTGACAGACGCAGACAGAATAGACGTCAGACGTGTATGTAAGTGGAGGGGGGCAAGTAATTACCGCAACGGCAAGATAAGCAAATACACCCCCGTTCACGCACGGCAAACACAACACAACGGTGCAGCGGCCGCACAATTCGCGCTACGCACACACACACACACACACACACACACACACACACACACACAACACACACACACACACACACACACACATGCTCGCGCACTGTGGCGGGGGAGCAAGCATGACGCAAATGAGTGTCACACAGATCATGTCAAACAGAAAGATGGCATCGTTAATGCTGTTGATAAGATGAGATAACTAAACTTGAATATGGTTACTAAGTAGCTATCGATTGTTCAGGGAGATACAGTGGGTGGCTAGAATTCGCGGATGTAAGCATTGTAGGTAGTACATACCGGCTACTGTCGTTATCACGGTGTTGGTTTATATTTTTGTGGCAACAAACAGAATGAATCGAACGCAGCCGATGCGAATTAAAAGTTCAGACATAGATGGCAGAAACTCTTCACCTGGCGAGGGTGTTCATCAGCATAAGGGGGGGTGGGGGGGGGGGGGGGGATAGGGCTGTAGGGCTTGAGACTCGACGATGAGGGCTGACACGTGAGGCCAGTCTAACCTGGCTGTATTTCTGCTCCTCTAACTGCCGTCGCGTGGCGTCGCCACCGTACCATACGTGCTCGTCTGCCACGCATACTCGTGGTGTGCGCTGCTCTGTAGTAGCCGAATGTCGCTTGCCGCGACTTTACGACGGGAAGAACGGATCTTTGCCCTACTTCTTGATACGCGATTACGCAACATTAGGCGGAAGTAGGCGCTTGACGGAGCGACCGCCATACATGAGTAATCCGTGGCTCATTGTTTG